TTTGTTGTTGACTTGCAAACAAAATAAAACTGTTTTTTTTCGTTTTGTCCAAAACAAGTGTCATGTAAAGACACCAAGTGATGCAAAATACAGCGCATTAGAGGCCCCTGCCGGACCCCCCATCAGTCCCCTCCACTGTCTCTTTGACCAGCGCACCTGATAGACTCCTCTTGGTCAAATAACTTTTAACTGAATTATTCAATTAAGTAAAATGTTTGTAGGTGGTAGCGTTGCTGACACCTGACATGTGTCTTCAGGCCATTCCGACCGTGAGATTTTGCACACTTCTTCCTCTCTTTCTCCTTCAATGTTTTGTTATGCGGTAAGGAGTTCAATCAAGACAACATTCAAATACAGAAAATGAATTTAAAAAAAAAAAAGAAAATAGGAGCAAATAAATTAGCCCAAAGCTTAGCGCATAATTGTGGGAATAAGTGTAAATTGCAGAGCAGATGATGTCTCATATTAGCTCAAAGGCTTGTTTTCACTAAAAGTACACCCTTCAGAGCCTCAAGTGCTCTCACAAAAGCAAATTTAGGGGCTGGCAAAGGGCAATCGAATCATGGCATTACCCACACCCTCCCATGGGATGACTTTCGTTGTTTACTGTCAAAATCCCTTCAGCAAATCAATAAAAACAATAATCAATTCATCCTTTGAATTTGATTTAAGCTTAGAAAATATTTGCTTCTGATTTTTGCACTTATTAAAACTGTCTTCTACTTGCCAGTCCACTTGGAAGTCCATGCTTGCATCGCTTCAAGATTGTCGACAAATTGTAGGGCTTGAGAAGAAATGGTTTGGTGGATTTGACCACAGAGTTCGCCTTACCTCCCATTTACATCAATTTCTAAACCTTTAGATGAAAGTTTAAAACTTCTTTAACGTCTTTGCACACAAACTGAACACAGATCGTCGATGATTCTGATTGGCTGGTTGCAGCTAATAGCCCTTTGTCACGATCAATATTGACAATCATAGGCTTGAGGTAGGTTTAAAAGTTGGATTTACTCCTTATAATCTTTATAGAAAGCTGTAGCAAATCACCTTATCTGTAGCATCCATACTTTGTCCGTTACGTAAATGTTGAGGATGTTAGCAACAGAGATTAGAGGCCCCCTAAGGTATCGAGTTTGCTTTTCGCACTTGCTTAAGTGACGCCCTGTGTCCTTCCAGGGTCAATATGCAGGATGGATTGGCTACGGTCGACCAGCATTGAGACTGGAAAACCGTCGGCATGGCGCAAACACAAAGTTGGAGCCTCATGTGTCCATTAAGCCAAAGAATAGCAAATGAGTTAATCAAAATTCTGCCTAAGTACTTGTCGTTTTGTAAAAGATGATCAAAGGACGACAAGACTACCATCGGACTACGGATAATTGGCATGTCCTGGGATACGCAATGTTTTGTTTAGTCAGCATATTACTGACATTTTCTTCCTGTGATGAGTTCCGGCCTGCAACTTTACTCGTCACCTCCTCGATTGTAGATACGTCTTTGCAAAAGTGTAAGCCTTTCCACAAAAATACAATTATGTGCAAAAGGCTACTGCTACTTCTTTTTTCCATTCCCTCACCTTGAAGCAGTTAGCTCGAGTTGCATGCAAAGTGAACTTTCTTTGCAGTCCGCCGTGGCATTCCAATTGATGAGCGGTACAATTAATCACAAGCAGCCGTAACAAAAACACCACTCTACCGAGGGTGGAGAGGCTGAGAGTGGAGGGAGGGTTGGGGCTGGGTTGAAAGCTCCTCCTCCTTAAAATGTCAAGAGTTAATGGCACTTGTGTTTACTCTGCCTCTACGTTTGAAGTGGGGGGAAAAGAGTTGCTTTACCCTTTTCAGCTTTCGGAATCACTTGACATTGAGCGGCGGCTTGGAGGTGCGCGGTCTACAACCTGTCACCATACATCCATTCATGCAGCCTAATTTAGGTACAACAATTGCGAAAAATTAGCATTAAAACTATTCATTAAGGCCATTTTAGTTGATGTAAACTTACTTAACCGCTCAAGCCTCATCAATTTGTCCATTAAAATTTGAATTAGATGGCAAAAATGGTTAGATCTTGAGGCGGTGGTCATATAAGCCCACAAAATGAGTTGAATTTTCCCTCTTTCTTGATTTGAAGCGAATAAAATGATTTGATTATTCATACTTTTTAATTAGGGACACGCTAACAGCTGCTATCATCTAATTGAATTGCACGGTGCAGATACTACTTAAATCGCTGATATGCTTTATTTACGTCAAAATAGTGGAAACGTTTTATGCCAACGGAACGGTGGCAAATACATCCGTTTTCCATCTCCAAAGGCAGTCTTTTTTGTTGATTAAATTGTCAGTGGGGTTGTATAATGTCACCGGGAAGTGATTAAATGGAATGTGCGGCAAAACTTCGTCCCTATTCCACCTCTAACTTGAGCACACGCCAGTCTCGAGGGGCTGGACCATCACCTCGGTGTCTGCCATGCTCAATGGCGCCAATCCACGTCTTGACAGCCGAATTTGATGAGAGGACAAACAACCGCCAGAAATGAGGGACGTTAAATGATGGCTTGTGTTTGTGGGACAGCGGAGAGGTGAGTGAATGGAGGCGCGAGGAGTTGCTCACACCTTTGAGGCGGTGGTGACAGGCTAGTCAGGTGACCACCACCCACATGCATCCACAGATGTCAACGAACTTTAAAAGAGTGTTCATTAACAAAGGACTTGTACTTTAAAAGGGGAATGAGGACAAAGAGATCGTCTTATCGCCTTCCTTCGTCCTTCCTCAACGCGAAGATTGGCACCCTTCTCTTGGATTTCAGTGAGGAGGTTTGTGTGGCAGAGGGATCGTGTTTTAATTGCCACTCAAAAAGCAGTAACTATGAAGTACTTGTAGAAGTTTTGTGCAGGTTTTAGAAATGGGCAAATTGCATGCAAAGTCTTCTCCGATTTATTAATTTGCCAAAGAAATGGACTGGGAGCTTCGCGATGACAGTGAACTTTTGCCAAAAAAAATCTTTTAAAGACATTCAAAATGTAAAGACTTGTTAAAATGACCACTGAAGAGGCGGTTAAGTTGGTTGCCGCTTTTACGAATGGACAAACAAGCCCATCCATTGTTGGAGGGAGGAGGAGGGTGAGGGAGAGAAATGGGCTCAGTATTTGCGGTACTGAAGGGCAAATTTTCATGCATCTTTAAGAACAGCACGAAAAATATGAGACGGTGGCAAAATAAGGCGCGATTAGGAGCATTAAAGGCATTAAGGATATCATCCACCTCAACGGGTGAAAATCACCAGCCTGTCAAATGACAGGCACCGAAAAAGGCAACTTTAGTTGTGCCTCTGCGCTTGGCGGTGCGACAATGCATCGACATTTAAGTAGTCTAATGAAAGAAGAGTCCATTTTTTATTGACCTTTAAAGTGATTTAAGGGAACAACAAAAAGTCCCTTCCCTTGAGACAAGAAGATACCCAGGGGCCACAAATGCCAGTTAGGCAATGCAGTGACCTCGCATTGACCTTTGATAGTCATTTCGAATGCAAAGTTGGCAAGAAATCGCTTCTTTATGCGAAAATCCAAGGGCTTGGGAAAAGTGAGGACATTGGAACGGACAGAAATGGAAGGATTAAATGTTGGATGGTGTTCTGTGCACCTAATTGACCTGCATGGGCTGATCGACCCCCTGAACAGTGCTGCTGGTTTCCACCTCAAAGTCTTAGTTTCCATCCTCTTTGAGGTTCAGGGGAGAGGAGGAAGCATTGTGGAGCCGAAGGAGGAACGAGTTTAGCATGCTGCAGCACCGCGCAAGTGCTGAGGTGGTGTGGACCTTTCTCCATTTTGCATGCTGCACCATCTTGAGGCAGTGCAACATGATGCCACAGAAATTCACTCAGGGTGCTACTTAATACTCTTTTAAGTAGCAAGGTAAGGTAACGCTGTCAGTGCTCTCTTGTTCTCTTTATCTCTCCCTCTCTCCCAACTCCAAATATTAAAGGGAGGAGTAAAGTAGTGAGACCGGCTAAATTTGAGGCAAGATACTACTTTTTTGGTATTTAGGGGCAAATTTTAATGTAACCTTACAATTGTGTAATAGGACTTTCCAAAAAAGTGAAAGTGTACAAGCACAGGTATTAAATTTATTGTGACGTCTACCAAGAAAATGCCTCCTTTTATTCCCTAATGAATTGCTCAATCCCAGCCATTAATGATGATAGGCACGAGAATGTAAAAAATGCTTTTCTCTAGTTGAGTAAAAGCATATTTTTATGATCAACAAGTTGGAATAGATTGTGGATATCGTGAAACTTTTTAATCATATTAAAATTGCACAGCTCAAGCACTGAGGTGTCTTGAAGGCTTTTAAACCAGACCCGAAACAGAAGGTTTTAAGATTATTTTCACAAAATCTTTTAAATTTATTTAACATTACATGGTTAGCATCAAATTAGTTAGCTTGATAAGTTGAGTGTATGTAACTCCGAAAAGACAAATACTGAAGTAGTAGTTAATAACTACTTTTTTTTCTAAGACACAATCTCCTTCCCTTATTATCATAACCTATGTCTACTTATATTTTAGCAAGTAGTATATTCCTCCATGAGGTTCAACTTATTGGAAATGTGGTAACGCCATAAGAAGCTGCAGAGATTGCTTAACAAATTATAAGCAATGCATTATTCTTCGCGTCTTAAGGCTTAATAATAGGGTTAGAGGTTGCCATAAACTGAATATCTCAATTCAGCAGGTCTGAAATAAATGCATGAATTTAATTTCACGCCACTGCCACCCCCCCCC